ATCGGGCTTCCCTTTCCTCTTCCTCCTCCTCCTCACACCTTCGACCCCACTGATCCCATCTCCAGCCTGTCTTCCTTTTCCTTTCCGTTTCTCTTGGCAATGTGGCAGGTCGTTACCGTGTCATTCTTAGCTGTTGCCACATTTCAACTCTGTTTTACTTCCCAGGCCTTGACATCGTGGCAGGGCCTTCACAGTGGTTCATACAAATGGCAGACAATTTCCCTCAGAAAGAGTAGCTTCGAGTCCTTGCTTCTTCCCCTTTCAGTGTTTATTTTGTTGCTTTTGCCATCATCTGACGTTACCAAGATCATTTCTTCCGGTCTTAGATTTTCAGGTACATAATAATAACTGTATGAGCAGTGTAGATCTCAGTGCCTCCAGTACAGAGGCACTTTTTGGAGAGGAGGTACACAGAGAGTGATGGTCTTGTTTGTGAAGAGTTCGTAGGCCGCTTTTGTGTAAAAGGTTTTGCTTTTGGCACACATGACACAAAATATGAATGCTGTTATGTACAGTAAACATCCTAGTTCTGGTTTGCCTCATTTTTTTCCCTTTTCTGATATTCCTTCCAAGAAAAACCAGGTAGAATGTATGGAAGAAGATTAAATGGCTGGAGTTGTCCAGTAGAAACATCCAGTCTATGTTGTAGAGTTTGATTGTAGTGGTAAGCCTAGTACATTAAAAATTTATATATATATATAATTTATATATATAAAAACACAGATACAAACAGTGGCCAAAATCTAAGATGTTTGCGGAAGTGTCATTAGTTTTGGTTGCTATCATGCACCTCTGTCTTGCTGTAAAGACATACTGTATTCTAGAGGCCTTTCCAGTCATCCATTGCTGGGTTTGGGGTATTCTGGGATTTGCAAGTGAGGATAGAAGATTGTGCCTTCCCCTTTTTGCTGAATTCCACTTCTGTATAAGGGGAAGTCATGCCCAAGAGCCCATTATGTGTGCACTGTGTATGATGTGAATTATAACAAGTGTTAAATATTTGAGTAGAATTTATAATCTGCCCTGATTAATTCACAGATGATCATGCCATAACACGCTTATTAGTCTTAAAGTGCTACAAGAAACTTTGGGTAGAACCAGTGATGTGTGAACAGAAGTCTGCTCATGCAGAGGGACGGGCCATCTCTCCACTGCAACCCCACACTGAAAACCTGCTCTGGAGGATTGCAGAACTCTCCAAAGAAGAATTTGAGGATACTTGAGGTGAAGAGGACCTCCTCCTCAGTTACTTTAACAAAAGTTATTCAGTCAGGAAAACATTGGTGCATTTTACTTGTTGGGCTTGTCACAAACATGTTAATAAAGGTAATGAAGGAGATATGTAGTTATATTTGGCATTTGAATACTGCTAAGCCTTCTGGCTACAGTGTTCTGTTTCTATGAATACTTATTCAGCCTAGTCACCTGTGATGAGCATAAATTTCTTTTAGCAGGAAAGTTTTTGTGCAGTGGAGTTTTTAAATAATTCATATCCCACCAATATCCCACAAACAATACTAGAGATGTGTGTGTTAGACATACGTTAGTAGACATGATTATATATGTATAGTTTAAGAGAATGTGGTGCCTTAGCCCTTATACCTTCAAGAAGATGGCCTTTGCAGTTAAGTGATGTGTATATATTCCAGGAAGTAGATTAGAGAGGATCTTGGGGACTTTAAAGACGTACCGTACCCAAGTTGTCTTGACAGATGGCTGTCCAGCCTTTAAATACGTGATAAAGAAAATCACATAATTTAAATGCATGTTATTGTGCAAGCCTTTTAAAACTGATAAGTCATTTAATCAGAACTTTCTTGGCTTTTGTAGTGGATGGTTGTGTTACATGAAGGCTCTGAAGAATGATTAATTTCATTTGTACCATTTGCTCCCCCATATGCTTGTTTTACTTAGTCTTATCATATCAACATTCCCCCCAAAGATTTTGATTCCTGTCCTCTTTATTATCACTTCAGTCTTATTTCACTTTGCATTACTAATATGCTAAGATGGAAAGATTTTCTAGAGTGAGCAGTTTGGCATATTAGTACACTTAAACATTAATTTTAATGTTAGCACACTTTTACTTCCGAATTTATTGATAAAATTATACCATCTCTCTATATAAAATGTCTCTTTATCTGGGGACAAACTGGATGTGGTACACTGAAAATTTCTTCCCATATCATTGGATTTCTCAGGATATTAAAATCCATGGAGGATTTTGCTTTCTTACATTTTGCATTATAAAGTACAAGACAAATGAATAACTGACATGTCAAAAGTCAAGGAAAAACAGAACCTCTTAAAGTTTTGGTCAATTTTCTAAAGTTAATAGCTGCTAGTCATGTATTGTATCTGACATCAGAGGCAATATGACCCTTCATCATAGTTGCTAAGAAGCATGGACTCTTTTGCACTCTTTTAAATACTGTATGTTGCCTGCTGCTTTACTGAGAAATAGCTATGAGAAGTATAAACCATATTGTTACTATGTTCCTGGCCTGCTTGTGGGCTTTCCATACTCATTACAAATAGCAAGTTTCTTATAATTAACTTCTTTTTTCAGTAATTAATATTTATGCATTGCATCAAAATTATAATGGACTGAAGGATGGTTTCATTCACTTTTTACATTTAAATTTATTTTCAAATCTTATACCTTTAGTATTGTCATCTCACTAAAAGGCAAAGAGATGTATCATACAATTGAGAACTGGCTTGTGCTCTGTTTTGTAGATGTTGAAGCAGCATCAGGATAGAAATAACTAAAACATAGCTATTCTGTTATAGGGAAATAAGAAAGTAAATTGTTCTTCTTTTTAAAGTTGCAAGTATTTTGTTTAATACATTTATATTCTATCCTATATCCTAAGACCCAGTGTGGATTTAATTTAAATCCAATCAGTTTAAATCACAATTTAAATAAAAATGGATATTTTTGACAATTTAAATAAAATTTAAAAAATGATTTTTTTAAAATTGAAACTCGATTTAAAAAAAACACTGATTTTCATCCATCCTGCTAATACCCCAGAACAGAGTACAAAAGAGGGGACAATTCAATATTTTAAAACAATAGTAATGTATGTGCTCACATATGTCTGTGTTCACATGTTTGCTATGGGAGCAATAGTGAAAAATGATCACTTTTTAAAAGTAATTTTCCACTTCTGTCCTGTAAGTAAGCAACTGGTTGGTCACTGACAACAGAATGTTGGATTAAATACACTTTGATCTGATCACGTAAAACTTGACATAATTAGTGGAACAGAAAGAATTGTACTGAAACACTCTTTAGGAGTAATTTTTATTTCATTCTCTTTTAAATTCCTGGATTGTTTTTATCAGTTTGATGGCTTATGTGGTTAGTTTTAATTTTCTGTTTGTCTCAGTGTAAAAGTTTTAATTGTTTTCTTCACTTTAAAATTTCCTATCTAAAACATTTGCACTCTTTTAAATAGTATGTTGCCTGCTGCTTTACTGAGAAATAGCTATGAGAAGTCTAAACCATATTGTTACTATGAAACAGGAGAAACTTATAGCTATATGTACAATTCTCTTTTTATATGGCTTACATTATAGCTGAACTTTTATGTTCCTGGGTCGGATTACAGTGGTGCGCTGCATAGTGACGAAAATCAGTGCTGAAAACATTGTTGCTATCCGGATTCGTCGCTATGCGGGAACCCCCCCCATAGGAACGCATTAAAACATATTTAATGCATTCCTATGGGGGAAAAAACTCACCGCTATGTGGAAATCCTCCATCTAGCTGCCATTTTCGCTGCCCGGTAAGCAAGGAAAGGGCGCAAAAACACTGCGGGCGGACAGTTTTCCTGGCGGCCATTTTGGAACCGCCAATCAGCTGTTTTTAAAACATCACTATGCGAAAATCGGTAAGCGAAACGCTTACCGATCATTGCAAAGCGATGTTTTGCCATATAAAACATCGCAATGCGATCGCTTTTGCGATCACAAAAAACTCATCGCTATGCAGATTTGTCGTTAAACGGGGCACTCGTTAAGCGAGGCACTACTGTATTAGTATTGTTATAATGATAACTTTACTATAGATCTATAGTTGGTGATTTGTATTTCAACATGTTAGTTGTATCTGTAGGGAAACAGTACTAGTTGCTCTGCAAGATGATCTCCTAAGGGAGGCTAACAGGAACAGTGTAACCCTGTTGATGCTTCTGGATTTTTCTACTGCCTTTGATACTGTTGACCATGATATCCTTCTGGGAACACTATCGAGTTTAAGGATTGGGGGCTTTGCTTTTTGGTTCTAGTTCTTCCTTGATAGCTGATCATAGATGGTATAACTTGGGGATGCTGTCTCAACTCCTTGGGACTTCCATTATGGGGTCCCAGAGGGATTAATTATCTCCCCAATGCTTTTTAGCTGCTAGGAGAAGTCATTTGGAGAGCTGGAGTTTGCAGTCACCAGTACGCTGGTGACACACACCTCTATTTCTCTTTTGCCTCGTCTGCAGAAGATGCTGTTCAGGTCCTTGAGTGTTTCCTGGCATTGAAAATGGACTAGATGAGGGACAGTAAATTGAAACTGAATCCACATAAGATGGAGATTTTGCTGTTAGGGGGATTGTCAGACTGGATAGGGGGTAATTTACCTGGTCTGGATGGGGTTACGCTCTCCCTGAAAGATCAAGTCTGCTGCTTGGGGATACTCCTGGACTAGGCACTCATTATGGAGGTTTAGATATTGGCTGTGGCTAGGAGTGCCTTTTATTAGGTTTGGTTGATGCCCATTTGTGCCGCTA